CTACAACAACAACTACTGCAACTACTACAACTCCGGCTCCAACTACAGCCACAGCTGCTATAACGACTACCACGGTCGCTGCAACAACTCCTACTACAACAACAATTACAGTTCCTACAACAACTTCTACGCGAACAACAACTACAAAAACTCCTGCCCCGACAACGACCACCGTTGCTGCAACAACTACAACGACATCAACTGCGTGTGCGGCGTCATCAAGCACAGTTCCCACGACAATTTCTACAAAAACAACCACTACTGCCACTCCAATATCTCCCGCTCAAACCACATCTCCTGTTATTGCTACAACAAAGAAACCATGCGAAACAACCATTCCGCCATGCACCACAGTACCACCACCTTGCTCTGACTCGCTCTCTGTAAAATCCAATAGCCAACAAGCTAAGCCATCCATTGCTATAACGCATCCACAAGCCACCGATTCCAATAACGATCATTATGTTCTGACGGCTTGTTTGGATAAAAAGAACGGCTTCCTGTTACCTGCGTTGAGTAACTGCAACGATTTTTACATTTGCCGTGAAGGAGTTGCTGTTCAGGTCACTTGTGGTGACTTGCATTTCAATCCTCTTAGAGGAGTGTGCGATCTTCCCGAATATGCTGGCTGCATTCGACATGTGTCATATTGAGCCTCGAAAGCACTGCCAGAAAAACTATGAAATCGAAATTTAGGACCTACCAAAGTATTGATGATTGATGATGTGTAATAAAATGTTTAAATTTATATTATTAAAAAAAAAAATTAAGTAACTATTCCCGAGAAAATAAAAGCAACATTCAACTAAATTTGAAGTTTTTTCATTTCATGCATAAAAATTGTCAAATCATTATCCCAGTAACGGATTTGTATACTAATAATATATTGGCGCGGAGGGACCTGCAGTTTTACACCTACTCCGAACGGCGATTGTATTTATTTTTACGATAAGCTGTTTGTCATGGCAGAAATACACTCAAAGGTTTACCACTGCCTGCCGAGGTGCGACCGCTATTAGAAAAACTTTTTTTCTAATATCTTACAATCACTGCTAACAACTACACCACAACTGGATAAAATAACGCCTACCCAATCAACGCAGTTAAAGAAAATCAGTTTTTTACGCTCCTGTAAAATTTGAGTACCGAAAGCAGTGCATGGAATTTACCACTTTATTGGTAGATAGATCTACCAACTTTTTAGCTATATTATATTTTCTACTATTTTTACCAAAAAAGGCTAAAAATTTACCAATATATTCCGGAATGAAACAAAGAGATTTAAATGAACATACTTATTTTGTCATCGAACACACTTCAAATAAACATTAAAAGTTAACTCTGACGGAGAATAATGGTTTGAGCCTCCCTCCTACTGAATTAATACGGGGCCTGAATCAGGGCATCCGTGATAAAATCAAATTTAATACGAAATTCGGTCGTGAGTTCGCTTTTTCAATTCAAAGTCTATTGGAGAAAAACAGCTGTTACATACTTTATTTCATTCGATTGTAATCGCGATTCCTTCGATCACGGATGCCCTGATGCGGGCCCACAGTTATGTATGTATGTATGTTTTTTGTTGAATATTTTATTCACGTGAAATAGTTTTTTGTTTAATCTAACAATAAAATTTATCCTAAAGCGAATTCATATAAGATCATAGCAGGTGTATAAAACAATACTTACACTAACAATGGCAGAAGAATTACATCAAAAACATCATTTTGACATTAAGAACCACCGAGAGGACAATCCAGCCGTTCTGGTAGCACCATCTTTTATGAAATCGCCATGTTTTATTCTATAACTATTTAATATTGTTTCCTTTAAAAATTTTTGATGTCCGCTATTGATTTTTTCGAAGTCCACGCACTGACCGTAAACTAGGCGGTTTTTCAAAGGCAGCGACAATATTAGCTTTGTTCCACACGAACCCGTGGTATCCGCGGGTGCCCAAAACAGTCCAGAAAGCGTTACTCACGCTAGAAAAATGGGTAATAGAGAGCGAATATTTTCCACTTTTGGGTCGTAAATGTCTTATTCTTCGTGCCCGAAACAGCCCGGACTTTTTTCCGGGCAGAAATGTGCAAGAAGTCAATTTGAAATAACAGCTGTTGTTTGTTTACATCCGGTATAAAATTTTGTTAAATATAAAATTATAAAATAGGACTAAAGGTTCAGAAATGGAGGTATTTGCTAACTTTATTAACTATATAAGATAAATACACATAAAATCATTGTTTAGAACTGATTTGTTGATTCCGGGCGGGAAAAGTGGTTTTTGCGTTCCTCACGCTCTGGGCACTTTTGGCACGGGTTCACACATTTTTGACACTTGTGAGAGAGTAACTTACTTTTACGCTCTAATTACCAAAACAGCCCGGAAAGCGTGTGGAATAAACCTATTATATGATCTATTCTATTTCATAAAATAAATTTGTATCACAGTGTAAAAGCTTCTATGGGTCTTAGGCTTCTTCTTCTCTATTGGCGTTGTAACCGCCTAAGCGATTTTGGTCGAGTCCAAAACAGCAAGCCAGTCGTTTCTCTTCTGTGCCAACTGACGTCAATTGGAAATGCCAAGTGAAGCCAAGTCCTTCTCCACCTGGTCTTTCCAACGCAGAGGAGGCCTTCCTCTTCCTATGTTACCATCATTGCGACTCGCGTTTAATGCTTTCAGAGCTGGGGCGTTTCTATCCATTCGAACGACATGACCTAGCCAGCGGAGCCACTGAATTTTAATTTGCTGCACTACGTCTATGTCGTTGTAAAGTTCATACAGCTCATCGTTAAATTGCCGGCGGTATTCGCCATCGCTGACGCGCAAAGGACCATAAATCTTGCGCAGTATCTTTCTCTCGAAAACTCCAAGAGCCGCTTCATCAGATGTTTTCATTGTCCATGCCTCTGCGCCATACACCAGCACAGGCATGATGAGTGACTTATAGAGTGCGGTTTTTGTACGATTAGGGAGGACTTTATTTCTCAGTCGAAAGTTGCACTTGTTGGCAAGAGTAATTCTCCGTTGGATTTCAAGGCTGACCTTATTATTGGTGTTAATCGTGGTTCCCCATAAACGAAGTCGTTTATTTTTCAAACTTGTAACTGTGGTGCCAAGATGCGTATGCTCTGACTGTTTGTGTGATGACAGGAGATACTTCGTTTTGTCCTCGTTCACCACCGGACCCAATCGCTTTGCTTCTCTATCCAATCCCGAGAAGGCAGAACAGACGTAGCCATTGTTTTTACCGATAACATCGATGTCGTTGGCATACGCCTGCAATTGTACGCTTTTGTAAAGTATTGTGCTTGAGCGGTTCAGTTCTGCGGCTCTTATTATCTTCTCCAGCATCAGATTAAAGAAATCACACGAAAGAAAGTCCCCTTGTCTGAAACCTCCTTTGGTATAAAACGCCTCGGACAGGTCCTTCCCTATTCTGACGGAGCTGGTGGTATTGCTCAACGTCATTTTATAGAGCCGTATTAGTTTCTCGAGGATACCGAATTCCGACATCGCGGCATAAAGGCAACTTCTCTTCGTGCTGTCGAAACCGACAAATAGATGGTGTGTGGCGATCCTATTCTCGCGGGTTTTTTCCAAGATTTGGCGTATTGTGAATGCCTGATCTATGGTGGATTTTCCAGGCCTAAAGCAACACTGATGGAGGATGGTTCCGTGCGCAGAAGTGGAAAACTTTTGACTGCC